GTCTCCCTGTCTGTGAGGGGGGCCTGTGCCCGCTGTGCGGGGTGCCCGGGGTCCTTGGCACCCGGGAGCCGTGTTCCTGGCTGCCAGCTCTGGCAGCGGGTTCTTCCTGCCGTGGCCGCGGTCTTGTTCTGCGCCAGCCCACTCCCCCTGGACTCCGGCACCGGGGCGCCCACGCAGAGCAGTGCGCGATGATTAGTGTATTTACCAGATTATGGGATCAACTACTTCGCAAGGGAAAATTAGCCCAAATTGCCATGTGCCTCACAGCCCACTGCAGGCTGCTGGCGGTCACAAGCGTGCCACCCAGTGTCCTCGGCTGCCCAGGGAGTGGACACCCAGAAGGGGAACCACCACCACAGGCCTGTGTGAGCCTCGGTGGCCTGGGACGGCAGAGGTGGCTCTGTGTGTGCTGCTGGTGGCCCCCAGACCCCGGCCCCCTGGAGCCTGCCCATGGAGGACCGGCTGGGTGGCTTGGGCTGGCCCAGGGCCCAGGGCCCAGGCAGCAGCTCTCTGGGCTGCAGAGTCTGGAGGTGCACAAGGCTGTTTTCCCAGCAAGTCCAGGCATTCCCCCCTCACCCCGCCTGATCTTCAGTGTCCCTCAAAGTCATGGTGTCCCCATGGGACCTGGTGCCACTTCTCACGCAAGCATCCAGAGCGGTCACTAGAATCAGAAACCGTTCCTCAGCACCTCCCAAGTGTTCAGAAAGGTCCATTCCTTCAACTCAGGACCCAGATGGCACTTGGGGATCCGTCCCCTAGTCTCCCTCCATCTGAGCTGTCCCTCTCTTAACCTGCCATTGCCCTGTGGCAAGGTCCCTGTGGGTGGACCATGGGCTGCCTTACAGGCACATGCCCACTTCTGGGCATTGTCTGCCCCCTTCTTGCTCATGGAGGTGAGCTCTGCTGGCCTGTGGCTAGGTGTAGGCCATGGCCCAGGTCAGGCGTGCGGCAACACTCCTCTGCTCCAGGGCACAGAGGGCAGTTCCCCACCTGAGTGGCAAGCTGGACCTTCACATTCGGGTGGCCATGGCTCACGTCCCCACAAGGTGCCCACCAGGTGTGGGCTGTCCGCTGTGGCTTGCCCTGGTCTCCCGGTCCTGGCTCTCCTTGCTCGGTGGTGAGCGGGTTCCCCAGGCTGGAAGGGCTCTCCCAACTGGCACGTGAGGATCCGTGCACTGGGGACATCTGTACAGGAGGGAGATACCTGCTTCGTGCTGTCCTCTGGGTCAGGCTTCTCCGTAAGGGCCCAGGCCGCCAGGGTCTCCGCTGACGTCAGAGGAGTTGATTTGCGTTGGTGGGGGTCGGGAGCCTCCTCCCTCTGCCTCTGTCCCCCCTGCCCGTCCCTGTCCCTGTCTCATGGTGTCATGTGGACTCCCGTGTCCATGTAGTTCAGGAGTCTAGATCAGCTGCAGACCTGACCGTCTCCCAAGCCCTAGCGGCCACTCCTCGCCCAGCACAGGGTCTGGAGAGCCCCAGATCAACACCTCCTCTTTCCCAATCAACAAACAATACAGAATGTTCTCCCAAAGCCCTTCTGCCTGCTCTAGCCCACACTGCCCTGGTGGCCCTGGTGCCACCGTATTCTGAGTGCCCATTGTGGGGGGGGCGACACCAGCGTGGGGCTAGGACACCCAGGCACTACACAGCACCCATTGCCAATGGGGCGGGGGGACAGTGTTGTAAACAGAGGTTCTCAGTGTCATCTGTAGATTGGATTGTTATCTGGTAAAGACAGGAGCCTGCTGGGCCAGGGACATGGTCTAGACCCATATGTCCGCCTGTCCCCGACGCCTGCGGTTTCCCAGCCCGGAACCCAGCCAAGGTGGGAGACCTGGTGTCATGTGACGTTGGTGCCAGTTCTCTTCCCAGACTGAAGAGCTCATCGGCTCTGGGTGTTCCGCGCGTAACCAGGCACTTCTCAGAACAGAGAGAACACTGTCATTGTACTGTGCAAACATTAAGTCTTCAAAGTCACATTTTTTTTTTCCAAAAGTAACGGAAAACCTAATTAGCTGACTTCTGCATACGACTCTGAGAAACAAAACACAGGAAATTACCTCTGGAAACCACTTTCCTGTTCTGAAGCCAGTGTTTTCTGTGGCGGGCCACAGACAGCCCTCAGGAGGAGCGGCTGCCATCCTGTGAGCCACACAGCAGTTCCAGAAGCCGAGGAGGCGGCTTGGGACGCCAGCAGGGAGCAGGGGTACCAGGCGCGACATCCACCCAGGCTGCCTCCCACGGGGTTTGGGTTTCAGGACGGCTCACTATCTGAGGTTCGGCCACATGTCCCCCTGCAGGGCACCTGAGTTGTGTATCCTGTCCCCTCCAATGGCCACCGTGAGTCCACCTGGGGCTGGGCTGCAGGTGAGCCTTTGCTGAGCCCATTAGCACCTAAGACCTCGGGTTCCTACCCAGCACAGAGACGCTGGAGGCCGAGAAGGTGGACCAGCCCCACAGCTGTGGTGAGAGGGGAAGGGGCGTGCGTGTGCGACCCTGGGAACGTTCCAGATGGCGCCTCCCGAGCAGGTCCTCTGCAATTCAAGCTGGGTGTGCCACATGCACAAGTGCTAATTGTCCCAAGTCTGGGCAGCCCCGGGCACCTCTCCAGTTTGGGGCAACGTGGGCCTGATTTACCGCAGTGGCCTCTGCTCCTGTTCTGCAGCCCGGCACGTGACAGGTCCCTGCCTCCCCTGAGTGGCCTCTCCCACCCCCTGCAGGGGCCGCTGTGGATCTGGCTCTGAGGGGTCTCCTGGCCCTCCTGGCCCCCAGGTCCCCTGCATCCAATCCCAGGGAGCCTGGAGTGCCTGTCGGGGGACCAGCCAGCTCAGGTGCCAGCGTGGCTCTAGTGGGGGCCTCCTGCAAGCCCATCTCTCTGCGGCTGCCTCTGCTGCCAGGGAGGACCTCAGACCCGGGCCTCAAAATAGCCAGGGGCTTTCTCCTAGCCCCAGAGGACCAGGCCCACCACCAGGCTGCGCGGGCTGCACTCCCGGGCTCCGGGGCAGGGCCTCTCCAGCCTCTGGGGCTCTGGGGGCTGGTGGCCGTGTCCCTCCTGTCTCTGCTCCCGCCTGGGGAGGGTGCGGTCAGCTCTGTGTGACTCAGGCTCACTTTCTCTCCTAGAGGCCACCAATCCCTGGGGTAGGGCCCTGACCCTGCTCCACTCCAGTATGACCTCATCCTACCTACCCACTCCCCAGGTCGCACTTGGTCCCGTGGGCCTGGATTTCAGGGTGCGCCTGGATTTCAGGGTGCGCCTGCATTTCAGGGTGGGCCTGCATTTCAGGGTGGGCCTGCATTTCAGGGTACGCCTGGATTTCAGGGTGGGCCTGGATTTCAGGGTGCGCCTGGATTTGAAGGTGGGCCTGCATTTCAGGGTACGCCTGGATTTCAGGGTGCGCCTGGATTTCAGGGTGAGCCTGGATTTGAAGGTGGGCCTGCATTTCAGGGTACGCCTGGATTTCAGGGTGCGCCTGGATTTCAGGGTGCGCCTGGATTTCAGGGTGCGCCTGGATTTGAAGGTGGGCCTGCATTTCAGGGTGGGCCTGGATTTCAGGGTGCGCCTGCATTTCAGGGTGCGCCTGCATTTCAGGGTGCGCCTGGATTTCAGGGTGCGCCTGCATTTCGGGGTGCGCCTGGATTTCAGGGTGCGCCTGGATTTCAGGGTGCGCCTGGATTTCAGAGGACCTGGCTCTTCTCCTCCTTGTTTGGAATAAGGCCAATCCTCAGAGGCCTCAGGAGTGGCTTTGCGGTCAGCCCTCTGGCTCTCTCCGGTCTGAGCCACCAGGACCTGCTGGCCCTTCCATTTGCAGCCTGCACTGACCCTGGCCTTGGTGTTGGTCCTGTGCTGAGAGCCACCCATCCTTCTTGGGCCACCTGCCACCTGTCCCCAGCTCGCCTGTGTGGTCGCGGCCAGCCTGCTGAGGCGGACAGATGTTTCTCACTCTGAGCACAGACCCACCCTGTCCCACCGACTGCCTGGAGAGCTGCCCGGCCCGGGGGTGAGCTGGGCGTGGGCATAAGCACGCGGCGTACATCTCCAGGGTTGGCGCCAGAGCCCTAGTGTTCAGCAGGGCTGCCCTCCACACAGAGCCTTCTGGAAGCCCCCGGCGCTTTCCTCTTGCATTCCCCTGACAAACACCAGGTCTTGTGGCCGCAGCTCGCAGCCAGGCCAGGCTGAGAAGAGGGGCTTCAGCCGAGTCGGTGTCCCCCACACAGCCGGGGTCTCCACAGCGGGGAGGAGAGAGGACAGGCTGAGCAGCTGGAGCTGGATGGCCAGGCCCCGGTGCCCGTGGGAAACACGAGGCCTGGGCATGGGCTGGGCCTGCCGGTCAGCCAGGGTCAGGGCGTCGGAGGGTGATGGGGGACAGCCCTACAGAGGGTGCACCTCTGTGTCAGCTGCCTTGCCCCAGACAGAGGGCAGCCTCCTTCCTGCTCGAGCTACTGGTCAGTGGCGTTGGTCAAGAATGGCTGAGGTGGCAACCAAGGGACACCTGGGGACAGCCAGGGAGTCAGGGTGGGCCCCAGAGGCAGCAGCGTTCTCAGTGACCCCTGAGGGGGCCTGGGAAGATCAAAAACTTCTGGGACCAGAGGGCAGAGCCCCTGCCTCCCCACGTCACCCCCCGCCAGCGGGTGTGGGCAGCCGGCCTGCTGCGGCCCTGAGAGGTGGGAGCGCCGCCATTGCTAGAGGGTCCCGCGGTTGGCCGGGTCACCCCTGCCCTTCCCACCACACGTGGCCCCAGTGCTGTGGTGACTGCACGTGACCTGGCCTCCCTCCCACAGAGGCCACTCCTGCTGGAGGGCGGTCAGGTGCTGGGCCCCACGAGGCCAGCTTTGGGCTCTGTGTCCTTGTCACCCAGGGCAGCTGAGTGACAGAGGCCTGTAGAACTCTGCAGGGCACCCCTCCCCACTGCCCTTTGCACCTGGTCAGCAGCGGCCCTGGTGAGGGACCAGGGAGCCGTCTGGGGCGTGCCTGGGACGAGAGGCTGGCTTGGGTGCTGGGAGGAGAGGGTCCCCGGGGCGCGTTTCCCTCGGAGCTCAGGCTGCAGTGGGCACGCGCCCACAGCCCAGCACCGGCCCTCGGCGAGGGCAGCATTTCCTGCGGGCTGGAATCGACTGCAGGCTGCACACGAATCCCCTTCCGCCTGGCAGAGCAGTGGGCGGGCTCTGGGCACAGCCTGTCTGCGCAGAGGGCCCCGCCCGTCGGGCTGCGTCCTGGAGCCCCAGAGCGGGACTGTTTGCCCAGCCGGAGCCTTGGGGACTCCTGTCCACCTGCTACTCAAAAGCCTCCGTCCACACACTGCTGGAGCCGGTCCTGGGTGGTGGGCGGAGGCAGCAGGAGGTGGAGCCCAAGGCCTGGAGATCAGGGGGTCAGGACAGGTGGCCGCCGGGTGCCTGCCCGTGGGGCTGGTGCGGGCTCCACCTCCTCTGGGCCAGGCGACCTTGGGCACCTCACTGCCCCCCCCCCCCGTGTCATCCTCCCCACTCCAGGGAGCGGACCCCTCCCTCTTAAGCTGCCACATCCTGTTGATGTGCTGTGCCACCTCACCAGTGCTGGGCACATGGGGCTCGCGCTACCGAGTGACCCCGTCCTCCCTCACGGGTCCGCACCTAACCAGGGAGTGGGCAGAGCAGGAGTGGCTGGTCCTTCTTTGCCCATGGACCCTGCTGTACAAAAACGAGCCTATCTCCTAGCCAGGGCCCCTGGAGGGCCACACCTGGCGGATGTGTAGCGGTCAGGAGGAGGAGGCAGCGCAGGAACCAACAGTCGCAAGGTTGCAGCTGCGTAAAAGCCCTGAGGCTCATCTCCTGCTCACTGTCACCCCTGAGGTCTCTTGGGCCCCGTCCCCACCCGGCTAAGGACAGGTGGCTGGAGCCCCACCAACCAAGCCGTCACCAGGCCTGGGCTGCACAACAGGGTCCAGGCAGTGTGGGACACCCATCAGTGCCCCTTCCTGCTGGCCCTCCACGTCAGCTTCAGGAGGGGGGAAACCTGCCCGTGGAGGACACTGGGACCTCAGTGACCAGCCGACTACGGTGCCCAGAGCAGGTTCCTGACAAGGCCCCACCCCGCCCCTAGGCCCCGCCTGGCCCACCAGCTATCCCAAGACCAGCCAGGGGGCTCCCACAGCCCCTGGGCTGGGCACCCAAGTCACAAACGTGTGACTTGCTCGCACGTCCTCTGCCCCGTCCTGCTGCCCACTCTGGGCTATAGGGCATTGTGGTGTGGCTTGGGGAGCAGAGCCGTCAGCCCCCTGCTCCTCCCTGGACCTAATGGGCATCAGGCTGCGTGCACGAAGCTGGCCACCTGGGTGGGGGGATTGGATGGGGGGAAGGCTGCTCGGCCAGCTCCCCTGGGGCCCAGAGCCCAGCTGGCCTCAGTCAGAGCTGGGCTCCCCCAAGGAGGCTCCCTGCCTCCTGGTCCCGGTGCCAGGCCTCGTGCCACCGTCGATGCCGACTTGGCCGAGCCATGTCTGTTGGTAGCCCTTCCTGTGCCACCTGGAAGCAGGTAGAAGCGCCTGCTGGAGGGGCCTGTCAGGGCCAGGCGGAGTGGACAGGAAGACGCGCCTCCCTAAATGGGCTGGCAAGCCGCGTGCCGGGGGTGTTTCCGTTGCCAGCTGAGTTGTGACTCTCGGCAACCGTCTCCTAGCAACCGTGCGGGTGGGGTGCTGTGCTCAGCCGATGGGCGGCTGGGATGCAGGCTGCTGGGGCGCAGAGCGAGGCAGCGGAAGCTGAGGGAGGCCCCGGAGGCCGCAGCCCTCACTCCGCAGGCGGGAGGGTCGCCCCACGGCTCAGACCCTGGTGGGCTCCCTGGCACCCAGGCCTGGGTCTCCCGATCCGCAAAACCAGGAGATCAGAGGCAGGACTGCGCCGTCAGCCCGGGACAGGCCTGGCCTCTGCCGCCAGCTCCTGGGAGGGGGCCGGCCACTGGGCAGTCTAAAGGGTGCCTGTGACCATGGTTTGGGCCACCCCATTGGCCTGGGCCTCCAGGGGAGGCCAGTCGCCAAGAGGATTAGCCCAGGGGCATGGAATGGGAAGGGAGCCAGGCGGTGGCCAGGTGCAGCCCAGCATAGGACACTCCACCCTGGGACTTCCCTAGTTACCTCTGTGCTTCCTGTCACATGTCACCGCAGGGAGGGGACTGAGTCCCAGCTGCACAGAGAGGACCCCTCTTTGTCCCCGACAGCCTTTAGCCGGGTCTTTTCCTGTGACACACCGTGACCTTGAGGGTGAATGCTCTTGCTCCTTCTGTGTCCTCTCACCAATCGTCAGGCTGCGCCTGGTCTTGGGACCCTGTATCTTGTGGCTGCATCAGAAGGGACATGGGCCATCTCGTGGGCTGTGCTAACGGAAGGCTGGCCACTCCTGGTGAGGACTGACCCAGATGGACAGGCTACTGGGGTGGTGATGTCTGCACAGCTGACGCTCAGGCAGGGACCAGGTGGCCTTTCTCTGTCGTGACACGGTCAGCGCTGGGGCCCTTGCTCTGCTGAGCCTCTGCGTGGTGGGGTGTGAGTAGAGCATCCTAGTGAGCGTCCCCAAGTCATGACGACCACAGACGTCTCCCGACGTTGCTTCGTCCCTGGGTGGGCACTGAGGGCCCTGGGCGAGGACCCTCCTGAGGCGGGGGATGGCGTGTCCCCGTGCCGCCCCGGGGCAGGCTGGCTGGGCGTGGGAGTGTTTCAGGGAAGGACACACATGTGCTGCAGGGTGGATGGGGAGGCAGCCCAGCAGGGCCCGGACAGCAGGACGAGGCATCTCCACGGCCCCCGCAGCCCCAGATCTGAGGGCAGCAGGGGCAGAGCCCACCTTGGGCTGCAGACAGGGGACCGGCCAGGCCAGCTCCTGTCTTCTCTCTGCCTTGGGGAGTTGTGCCCAGGAAGAGAGGAACCGCTGACCGCTCTCATGGGCTGGCCCCTGAGCCAGCCCCCGGGCAGGACGCTCACCTGAGGGACGTGGAGATGCAGCAGAGGCTCTGGACAGCGGGGCCTCTGCTGTGGGGACCCTGCTGGAGATGGCGCCTACAAAAGGCCATCAGGTCCTCTCCTCTACGCCGCCTTCCGTGCGCCTCAGCCTGTCTGCTCCCATCTGAAGACTGCAGCAGAGGCCGAGATGGACAGTGTCCCCCAGAACTGCTGTCCCTGGGGACCTGGACAGGACCTTCGCAGAGGTGATTGGTCAAGACCTTGCGAAGCTCCTGGATGTGAGCATCTCCAAATCCCAGGTGCCTGCACCCTGAGCAGAGGAGGAGAGAACAGGGCACAGAGGAGGCCCCAAGCAGGGTGGGAGCCAGGGAGGGGCTGGCAGGGCGCAGGGACGGCTCCCCCGGCCTTGGGTGGCTCCGACCTCCTGAATAGCAAGTCAGTCAACTCCCCGTTCCAAGCCCCCGGTTTGTGCTGCTGCTTCATGGTGACCCCAGGACACTGACACGTAGCTCCGGGGGCTGTCTCCATGTCCAGAAGAGGCCAGACGGGGGTCTTAGGTGTGGAACTCTAGATGGGGGGGTAACGCCTGAGTCTTTTCCTACGCGTCTTGGTGGTCATGGGCCCTCTGCTGGGCTGGGACAGCCTGGGTGCTGGTCAGGGAGGAGGAGTCCACTGTGTTGTGTTGAGACGCCGGCTACACATCCGCCTGAGTCCAGGGGGCTCCAGGGCACAGAGGGCTGTCCAGTACCTGTGGGCTCACCTGTCCCCCCAGTGACACACTGACCCCCTTCTTCCTGACAGGCCACGTGGCCAGCACAGAAGGCTGAGCCAGGGGCCTCCACGTGGGCACCTGGACAGGCAGGGCCAGAGCTCTGAGGTGTCCTCCCTGAGTGGGGGATGGCAGGTGACATCTCACTCCCGATTCTCTCCCCAGTGTGGCCATGTGGGCAGGAGGTCAGTGTGCTGCCAGGCCCGAGCCCCGCCTCTGGTCAGCGTACCTGTGGCTCAGGCCGTACCTCCTGCTGGAGTCTCATGGTGTCCCCAGGAAAGGATCTTACGCTGGGCTCTGCCATCTGTCCCCACCATGTCCTCAGCTCCCCACCCGTGTCCTCCGGCAGTCTCTGTGGTCCACACGGTCACAACTGGGCTGTCTTGGGGACGTGGGGCTCTGAGCTGTCCTGGGTGGTGGGAGGGCCTGAGCGCCAGTCCTGCGTCACCTCTTCCTGCTGTGACCCTGGCGGACCCTGGCGGGCCCTGGGCGGCTCCTGCCTCAGTTTCCTTGTCTGCAAAGTGGGGACCAAGACCGGGGCAGGCTGTGAGGTGCCGCGGTCTGGCTGGGCACAAAATAACCGAGCCGCCACGAGGCACCTGTAGGTTCAAACAGGAACTCCTTTATTGCCCCAACTCCCACGAACGCCACCCACGTGGCCCTTCCAGGAACCACCAACCGGAAATCCCTCCTCCGGAGCTTCACCAACCAACTTCCCAGGAATCCCCGCGAGAACTCCAAAGCAGCGGGCGCTCAGGCGGACAGCAGGGGTCCATATACAACTGAATAGCAGCCTAACATAACCATCATCATCTCAATGGCTCGCTGGCGTCACCTCTCAACCACTCCCTCTGGCAAAATGCCAGGCGTCATTCTGACTGGCTGTGGCTCTCAGCAGTGAGGTGGACATCTCACTGGGATATGGGGCTCCTGAGCGGCCCACAGAGCCCCAGGACCAAGGCGTCCTGGGAGGTGGGGACAGGCTGGATGTGTGGCGTGGGATCAGGACCAGTCCTCAGGGCCTGGCACCCCAAGCTGGAGCTACACCTCGTCCCTGCAGCCCGAGGGCAGTGCCGGCACCAGCCCCGTTCACAGAGGCTGGAGGGTGTCACACAGAGTCACACCACCTGGTCCCACAGGTGCCTGAGCTGCTCGGGCTTGTACAAACATTCCAGGGCGGCTGCTGGCCAGCCGACTCCGACTCTGACTCCTCACAGTCCCGGAGCCTGGACGTCCAGGTCTGGTGCTGTGGTTCCTGGGCAGGCCACCTTCTTCCTCTGTCCCCACAAGGCGGGCTGCAAGCTCCCTGTCCTCTTCTCACAAGGACACTGACCCCCGAGGAATCGGGGCCCACCCACCCTGTGACCTCAGGCAGCCTAAGTTCCTCCCCCAGGGCTGACCCCAGACACAGTCACGTGGGGTGGGTAGCGGCTACTTCAGGGGCAGGAACATTCCATCCATGACAGCTTGGCCTGCGGCTGTCCAGGGCGGGCGGGAAGGACGGAGGACGCGCTGGCCCCTGCAGGCCCAGGGCAGCGGTGTTTCCGTGGAAGTGGGCCCGCATCTGGAGACGTCCGGCCATGGGGTCCTGTGTCCCAGCCCAGCCGAGGCTCCGGGAAGCAGAGCAGCGAGATTTGGGTTCCGAGGAGGCCAAAGCAAGGCAGTGGTCCTTCTGCCTTGGAAAATGTGGACCAGCAAGTCTGCAGAGGCCCCACCCAGCTAGACCGGCTGCCCACTGTCCGGCTGCCCACTGTCCGGCTGCCGCACGCCCAGTCACATCCCCCGGGTGTGCAGTGGAGCTGAATGCCCTGTGTGGCAGGTCAGGAGGCGGGGCCCTTGGGGGGACAGGGCTAGCTGCGGTCACAGGGTGGGCCCCGTGGTGCCATCAGTGCCCTGGGGGAAGAGAGGCCAACGCCTGTCCTTTGGGGTGGACGTTCTCTTCCTGCGGTCTCAGTGGCCCCCGCGGAGCTTCTGCTGACTGTGGCTCTTTTAAACTGACCCAGGCCTCCTGGGTGATAGGGCGAGGACAGGTACAGCCGAGCTGCTCCGAGCTGTGGCCGGGCCCGGGAGAGTCCTGCCTGCACCCTCCAGGTGTCCCTGGGCTGTGGCCACGTCCCTGCGTCCCCGCCTTTTCCTCTCTGTGCGTCAAACTTCTGCCTCCCTCTTATAAGGACACTGTGGTGGCATTTGGGCCCAGCAGGTGTGTCCAGCTCACAGACGGCAGATTCTAACCCGCTCCCCGGCTTTCCTCAGCGACCCCCCAGCCTGCAGCGGGGTCATCCCACGTCCCCCAGTCACACGGGCCCGTCCGCATGCAGTGGCCTAGGACCCACCTGAAGATGGCGGGGGAGAGTGGGAAGGGGGGGGTCACCGAGGCCGAGGGGGTGCTTGGCAGTGACCTCCCCCGAGCAGGTCACCTCTGTTAGCAGAGGTGCCCGTGTGGCTGTTTGGACAGGTGTCCCTGGTGGGTCCACACCCTAGTCCCCAGAAACCACAAATACGTGACGTTCCCTGCAGGGCAGAGGGGACCTTGAGACGAGATGAAGTGAAGGACCTTGCGGGGAGTCACGGTCCTGCCTCAGACAGGGGCTCCTGTGGCACGTGTGGTGATGGCGAGCGATGGGACTCTCACGCGCTCCCTTGGGAGTGACTGACGTCACGCGGGGTCGGGCCATGTGCAGAAGGTGGCGTCCTGCAGCCGAGCCGGGTCTGCAGGAGGAAGGGGAGGAGACGTGGGCAGGAGCAGAGGCTCCCTGGGCTCCACTGGCTGCCAGGTCACCCGTGCTGGACTTGGCCCTGGCCCTGAAGCTTGCCGTCCCCACCCGCCACTCCGCAGATTTGCTCCATTTCACAGAGGGCCAAGGATGGGACCTGGGGACGCTGCCAGGCCCCTGCAGGGGTTCTGACCGCCTTGTTCTGGCCGCACACTCGGTGGGTGTCCGTGCGGCGTGAGGGGGTCAGGGACAGGGTTTAGGTGAGGGGTGATTTAAGCCACAGTTGTGCCCGCGGGTCTCTGAGTTGGTGTCACTGGATTCTTGAGCCGCGTAACCCTCTAGGCAGCCGGACTGGGTTTGTGACTGTGTTTTGTGACTTCATCCCCAAGCCCCAGCATGTGGCTGCTGGCAGGGGAGGCTGTGGCCTGCTCTCGTGGAGCCTCGGAGGACATGGCCTGCAATTCCAGCCTCCTCCGTGGTCAGCAAGGCTGGACAGGAGTGCAGTCAGCTCAGGGGACTTTGTCCTGAGCCACAGTCCTTTCCCCCGAGTGTGCTCTGCAATACTGGCTGGAACTCCCCAGCGTGTGTGCAGAGACTTGCGTCTCTGGCAGGCCAACAGGGTGGACCTCCACTCACTCAGACTGTTTCTCAAAGTCCAGCATTCACTGCAAGCGTGAACTTGAACTTGCTCCAGGGGGGCGGGTCCTGCAGACCACCCAGGGTGCTGTGTTACCCTGGTTAGGCCGTTGTGTTTCCCTTTTCACTCGGCCCCCCAGGAAGCCCAAAGCCACCTGTCTGGCAGCCCCTGGTTGCCACGTCTGCTCCTGCTCCTGGCTCTTCCTTCCTTTCACGGCCAGGGGTTGGCCAGATGTGACCCGCGGGCTGTTTGGGGATCTGTGCAAGATAAGTGACAGTTTTACATTTTAAAAGCGGATGATAAATCCACCCTTTGAAAACCCCAGGAAAACCCCATTCCCACCCTGGGGCGTGTGGACTCCTGACCTGGAGTCTCTGGCTCTGACCCTGTGCGGCTCTGGCCCTGTGCGGGCAAAGTCTGCTGCCCCCGCGGCCCTGCTGGGTGGCCAGCCTGGCAGAGGGCCTCTCTGGGGGAGACACGGGGCCTCCCCAAGCCCAGAACTGAGTCCCAGTCTTCCCTGGCAGGGCCCTGCCCCCTGGGTCCGTCCAGGGCCTTCTCAGGAGCTGCTCTGCGCCAGGAGGTGGCCCTGCACAGAGCAGCGGGCTCCGAGGCCCTCTTCCGTGACGCGCTGTGGGTGGCAGGTCCCTGCGGGCTCTGTGTGGGGCGCGTGGAGCGGGCTGCTCTTTCCTCCCGTCTCCTGGCAGTTAGTCATCTGCTGAGGTGCCTCGGGGACGGAGCTGCCCAACCAGGAGCAGCGTGGCCACCCTTCCTGTCCCCTTCCTGTCCCCTTCCCTGTCCCCTCCAGCTCAGGGATGGAGACGCCACCTGCCTGTCGAAGCAGCAGGAGGGGCAGCAGCGGCTCTGCACTGAGGACCCCAGGCCCAGGGCCTGGGCAGGCTCCGGGGATGGGTGGCCGGCTTGGTCATCCTTGTCCTCGGTCCATGGCCACAGCCGGGGGCCACAAGACGAAGGCGGCGATGGAGGCAGGGCCCGGGCATTGCTGACACCAAACTCACGCCCTGAGCTCAGCCGCCACACGCGCCTGCCCCTCGCAGGACCTGAGAACCCGCTCCCTCGAGGCTCCCTGTGGGCACCAGCGTCCCTCCCTGCAGTGGAACACCTGGGGCAAGTGACTTACCGAGAGAGAGGTCACTTGGCTCGCGGTGGGGAGGATCCTGTCCTCTGGCTCTGGGCCCGAGGGGCAGCTCACTGTGTGGAGAAGGACGGGCAGAGCAAACCTGCCCAGCGTGAGCCCGGAGGCAAAAGAGGAGGAGGGGGGTCCCACAGCCCCTTTAGGGGATGTCCCTACCCCTGGCCCGAGGGCCCTCCGCAAGGCCCACCCCCAAGGTCCCACCACCTCCCGGGGACCAAGCCTCGGCATGGCCTGGTGGGGACTCACACGACCAGCACTGTCACCTCTTCCAGCCCCTGAGGTCCCTCGACTGCGACTCGGTCCCGGCCTCTACCCCGGCGTGTCCGTGTCCAGCCCTCCCCCTCCTCATAAGGCCACTGGTGGTGCTGGACGTCCAAACGAGGCCCCGCCTGGGCTGCTGGCCTGGGACTCCCGAGTCCTTGGATGCGGCTCTGACGGCTGCACCCGCCCCGCCTCTCAGGGACACTTTGGTTTAAACCAACCGTGAGACAGTTCTGGACGGAGCCTCTTAGGGATGCTGGCCTGGCGGGTGCCAGGGTCACTTCCCGTCTCTGGCCACCGTGGACACTGGCGCCCTCTGCTCACACCAGTCACTACAGACACGGAAAGGCCCAGCGTTCAGAGGGGCAAGAGGCTGGAAGTGACACAGGCGTCTGTTGGCGAGGAGGGACCCTGTCACCGCTGGAGTACCTGCCACCCAACGGGGACAGTGGATGGTGACACCTTCAGAGCTGTATTTGGACTTTGATAGTCAGAAACGCCCAGGATGGAGGAGGAAGAGAGTCCTGTGTATGCTAGTGAGCCGGCTGGGGGACAGGTGGCTTCAGGGTGGGGCCGGTCACCACAAAGACCCAGGTGGGACAAGTGGGTGGAGACCTGGATCCCCTACACACCTCCTGGGAGGGGAGAGGACCAAAGGCCGAGCTGGTCACCAGTGGACAGTGATGTGTCCAGCCATGCCTACCTCGTGACACCTCCTGGAGTCCCACAGGACAGGCCTCAGGGCTTCTAGAGCAGCTGGACCCAGGACCTGTGTGGACTGAGGCACACGGGGGCGCTGGCCACTCCGTGCCCCTTCCTGTCCCTCACCTGTGTCTCCTCCTCTGGTGTCCATCTGCACCCTTTACAACACCCTTCCTAATAAACCAGGGACCCGAGTGCTCCCCTGGGCCCAGGAGCTGCCCTAGAGGTTAGTCGGACCCGAGGAGGGGGTTGTGGGGACCTCGACTTTGGTCAGTCACACCTGGAGAGGGGCCAGTGTTGGGGACTGAGCCTCGTCCTGTGGATCCGGCATCACTCCAGAACTGAGGTGAATTGGGGACCCTGGGCTGGTGCCCGCTGTGGCAGAATGGCCCATCTGCTTGACCCGTGGGGACCTACGTGCTCGGCCACAGGAGTCTGTGTGGACGTTTGAGTGAGTTCAGGAGACGCTGAGTTAGTTTTCCTCTCTCCTCAGACAGCGGCCGTGTCAAGGCAGATAGTGGACACAGACAGGGGATGGGCTAGGGAGAAAAGCCAGGGGTTAAAAACAAGAACACGGGCCCACTTACCTCGGGGTGGGTCAGCGGGAGCAGTGGCACTCCATTCTCCTCAGTGGAGTCTCACGTATTCTTGCACATTCTCTCATCCTCCTGGGTGAAGTTCCATTGGAAGGTTTCATTCATCCAAATATAATTTCATGAAGGAGGAAGAGCGTCATGGAGAACGTGTGTGCTCCCATGAGTTAAGTTCTCAGGTGTACTAGGCAGCTTTGAGCTACTGTAGTGCTGTGCCTGAGGCAGATGACCTTATAAAGAGAAAGGGTTTACTTAGCTCACAGTTCTGTCAGTTCACAGCTCAAGATCAGGCAGCCTCACTGACCTGGCCTCTGCTGAGGACAGTGGTCTCTTGTAGGAGCAAGTGGCCACATCTCCAAGCAGAGCAGAGGAGATGGCCAGGCTGAGGCTTGCAAGAAGGTGCTCTCTCAAGAGCTGCCTCCCCAGGGCAGTGCCCTTCCACAGGGCCCAGCGGGAGCCCCGGGGTCTCTCAGGCCCCACCTCTAGCTGATGTATGTCAGTGGCCAAACTGCTCCATCTCTGCTGACAGCCTGCTTGGTGGGACACACCTGGGGAGATGCACCTACAGAGATGCACCTGGGGATCGTACGGGGGGTGGGGGGTGGCTGTACGGGGGCAGGGCTGCCCACTGCTGGGTGGACAGAAGGTGCTCACCTTGAGGTTCACCTTCATCTGAGGGGAGTCACGTGGGCTTCCTCCACTGTCTCCCAGTCAGCCCAGCCAGACTGCCCCCCAGTGTCCAGGGCACTCTGGAAACCCGCTCCTCTAGAGGTGACGGCCCAGCACAGAGCCCAGCTCCCCAGCGCCCGTCCCGCGACTTCTGGTGCCACGTCATGCCAGCCTTGTCCTCGCTGGCTGCAGAGCAGCAGCAGGTGGGTCAGGGGGTGGCATTCGATCCCTTTTAGCAGCAGCCCTGCCACATGCCCCTGAGAGTCACCAGGAGGTCAGCCCTGCCGCGTGCCCCTGAGAGTCACCAGGAGGTCAGCCCTGCCACATGCCCCTGAGAGTCACCTGGAGGTCAGCCCTGCCACGTGCCCCTGAGAGTCACCAGGAGGTCAGCCCTGCCTCGTGCCCCTGAGAGTCACCAGGAGGTCAGCCCTGCCACATGCCCCTGAGAGTCACCAGGAGGTCAGCCCTGCCACGTGCCCCTGAGAGTCACCTGGAGGTCAGCCCTGCCGCGTGCCCCTGAGAGTCACCAGGAGGTCAGCCCTGCCGCGTGCCCCTGAGAGTCACCAGGAGGTCAGCCCTGCCGCATGCCCCTGAGAGTCACCTGGAGGTCAGCCCTGCCACATGCCCCTGAGAGTCACCAGGAGGTCAGCCCTGCCACATGCCCCTGAGAGTCACCTGGAGGTCAGCCCTGCCACATGCCCCTGAGAGTCACCAGGAGGTCAGCCCTGCCACGTGCCCCTGAGAGTCACCAGGAGGTCAGCCCTGCCGCGTGCCCCTGAGAGTCACCAGGAGGTCAGCCCTGCCGCGTGCCCCTGAGAGTCACCTGGAGGTCAGCCCTGCCACATGCCCCTGAGAGTCACCTGGAGGTCAGCCCGGCCGCGTGCCCCTGAGAGTCACCTGGAGGTCAGCCCTGCCACATGCCCCTGAGAGTCACCTGGAGGTCAGCCCTGCCACGTGCCCCTGAGAGTCACCAGGAGGTCAGCCCGGCCGCGTGCCCCTGAGAGTCACCTGGAGGTCAGCCCTGCCACGTGCCCCTGAGAGTCACCAGGAGGTCAGCCCGGCCGCGTGCCCCTCAGAGTCACCAGGAGGTCAGCCCTGCCGCGTGCCCCTGAGAGTCACCTGGAGGTCAGCCCTGCCGCGTGCCCCTGAGAGTCACCAGGAGGTCAGCCCTGCCGCGTGCCCCTGAGAGTCACCTGGAGGTCAGCCCTGCCACGTGCCCCTGAGAGTCACCAGGAGGTCAGCCCTGCCGCGTGCCCCTGAGAGTCACCAGGAGGTCAGCCCTGCCACGTGCCCCTGAGAGTCACCAGGAGGTCAGCCCTGCCACGTGCCCCTGAGAGTCACCTGGAGGTCAGCCCTGCCGCGTGCCCCTGAGAGTCACCAGGAGGTCAGCCCTGCCACATGCCCCTGAGAGTCACCTGGAGGTCAGCCCTGCCACGTGCCCCTGAGAGTCACCTGGAGGTCAGCCCTGCCGCGTGCCCCTGAGAGTCACCAGGAGGTCAGCCCTGCCACGTGCCCCTGAGAGTCACCTGGAGGTCAGCCCTGCCACGTGCCCCTGAGAGTCACCAGGAGGTCAGCCCGGCCGCGTGCCCCTGAGAGTCACCTGGAGGTCAGCCCTGCCGCGTGCCCCTGAGAGTCACCTGGAGGTCAGCCCTGCCGCGTGCCCCTGAGAGTCACCAGGAGGTCAGCCCGGCCGCGTGCCCCTGAGAGTCACCAGGAGGTCAGCCCGGCCGCGTGCCCCTGAGAGTCACCAGGAGGTCAGCCCGGCCGCGTGCCCCTGAGAGTCACCAGGAGGTCAGCCCGGCCGCGTGCCCCTGAGACTCACCAGGAGGTCAGCCCTGCCGCGTGCCCCTGAGAGTCACCAGGAGGTCAGCCCGGCCGCGTGCCCCTGAGAGTCACCAGGAGGTCAGCCCGGCCGCGTGCCCCTGAGAGTCACCAGGAGGTCAGCCCGGCCTCGTGCCCCTGAGAGTCACCAGGAGGTCAGCCCTGCCGCGTGCCCCTGAGAGTCACCTGGAGGTCAGCCCTGCCATATGCCCCTGAGAGTCACCAGGACTGGAAATCACCCTCCTTCTCCGTCTTCAGCAAAATGAAGACGGCGCTCAGCTCCCATCCCTCTGGAAGGTCGGTCCTCAGTGTCCGGCTGCAGTCCTGGCAGTAGCCAGTTCTCAGATGACATCTCCCCAGGACACCCTGCCGCTTGCCCGCCAAATGCCCCCCTGCCCGCGTCTGACCTGCTGATCACGTGGTTTGGTAGAGGACAGGACTAGAGCCCGGGAAGGTGAGCAGGGGCGGAGGTGGCCCTTACGGGAGTCCCTGTCCCCGGGCTCACTGGGATGGAGCTCAGAGGTGAGGAAGCCCCTGAGGCGCAGGACAGGTCAAGGGTGGTGGGAGGTGGCTGTTCCCAGGCTGCTGTGGCCAGGGCAGGGGAGACGAGGTGAGAGCCAGCAGGGCTCTGGTGAGCTCAGTCAGGGTGACAGCAGTGTCCCGACTGTCCTGGCCCACCCCACCATCGTCTCTTCCTTAGAGAGCAGGACCAGAGCCGGGGGGTCCATGAACTTGTCCTCCTCAACACTGACCAAGTGCCCGCCGGGCTCCTGCCCTTCCTGCTCTGCCCCGTCCAGCCCCGGAAAGAGGCATGCCCCCATTCAGGAACCCTCTGCACCTTGTTAAAGGTCACTGCTTCTGTCCCTCTTGGAGGCCAGTCTTGGGTCGCAGACATGTTAAGTCACAATCTGTCTCACTGTGGCTCTCGGCAGCACACGGCCACCCTCAGGCCAAGGCCTCGTTGCAGCTGGGAAGAGGCTGTGGCTCTGGGTTGGGGACCCTGTGGTCAACAGGGAAGCAGCGGTCATCGTTAAGGACCAGTGGTTCTCCATGATCAGAATCTGAAGCTGAGGACGATCTGGGCAGATCTCAGCAGGAGCCCACAGGCCACAGGGCTCCGCAGTGGCCCTGGCTTTGAGAGCTGCTGTGCCTGTGAGGACCCTGACGGGGCCAGGGTGGCCTGCCCCTGTCCCGGCAGCCACGCGTGCGCTCTGCGGGCTGGACCTGTGTGAGCGACTCCGTGAGATCCTCCTGACCGCTGTGTCCCCTAGCTGCCTTGCTCTCTGCTGGAGTTGCATTTGCTGTTGGTGAATGTAAAATGCAGAATTATTACATTACAAATGTAGCCTTCCCAGGAGGACACCGTCCCCGCCGTCAGGACGGCCGAGAACCAGGGCCTCCAGGAGCCGCAGCCTATCTCTGGCTTCGCTGTTGCATCTGAGGAGCGGGGGACACGCAGGGACTGGCCTGAAGTCACGGGCATGACTTGGGCCACCTGACAGTTGCCCTGGCGGGGTGACGGGAGGACATAGCCAAGCGTTTAGCACACCCAGCCTGATTGGTCACTGTGCGGCTGGCAGCAGGAGGGCCTGGACCCCGAGTTTGTGACAAGCGTTTGACCAGGCAAAGCCATCCGTCACTCAGATCTAGAAGGAGCCGTGCTGCGGGATTCCAGGGTCCCGGGGCCATGGGCTTCAGTGTGGTAGGACACATAACGTCCACTGCCATCATGACCACTTAGGAGTGAATGACTCCGTGGCATTAGCTACACTCCCAAGGTTGTGCGGACCTCCCTGCCACCTGTCCAGAGCACTGGTCACCCTAACAGGGAACACATGTCCGCCTGCAGTCACTCCTCCTGTCCCCTGCCTGGGTCGTGTGGACTGACCCCTGCAGGAGTCTCCAGTGTGGCCCTCCACGCCTGCCCCGAGTCCATCTGCACTGTGGTCTGTGTCAGTGCTGCACCCCAAGGCTGGTGACACTTCCTGTTGTGTCCCACGCTGAAGGGCTCTCTGCTGGGTGAGTGTCCCCCAGGGGTCCATGTGTGGGGACCGTTCAGAGAAAATCGTCATAAGAGGCCCCTAGGTTAGGGGACTGTGGGACCTTGACCCGTCCTCTCGCTCAGCTCTCTGGCTCAGGGTGGAATGGTCAGCTTCCCCACACCCTCTCACCATGATGTGCCGCCCTCACCAGAGGCCCAGAGCAAAGCAGCTGCCCGTCCTGGATGGGAGCCTCCAGAACTCAGAGCTGCATAAACCTTTCCTCTCTGTAAGTTAATTACCTGGGGTATTTCATCACAGCAACAGGGCTCTGGTGAAGCTGACTAACCTTGCCTATGTGTAATTCCCACATTGCCGTGTACACAGCACTGTCTTCATCCATTCTTCAGGTGACAGACACTGTGTTGTTTCTGCCACCGTGGGCTGGCGTAAGCAGTGCTGCGACTCCCACATGGGTAGGAGCCTGTGTTCTGCTCCCATGCCCGTGTGGGTGCCCGTGTGGGTGCCCGTGTGTCTTCTGCTCCGTTGTCAGTTCTCCGGGGTGTGTGCGTAGCTGTGAGATTGCTGGGCCACGTGGCAGCAGGTACGTCACTTAGGAAGAGCCTCCCCGTTGTTCTGTGCCACGTTGCTGGCCTGGGCACGCCCAGCAGCCTCTCGGGGCCTGAGCTGACAGCTGCAGCAGCCCTGGGGGCCTTGGCCTGTGAGCAGCAGGTGTGCCCAGTCTCCTCCCATTCTGGGAGCACCTGCCTCGGGGCGTCCAGCTGTCCTTCCTGGCCCTTTGCTGGGTAAGCACTCCCTTGACCTGACTGGGGAGGCCAGGGAGCAGGAGCCGGGGGGCAGGAGCCAGGGGGCAGGAGCCAGAGGCAGGAGCCGGGGGGCAGGAGCCGGGGACAGGAGCCGGGGGACAGGAGCCGGGGGACAGGAGCCGGGGGCAGGAGCCGGGGGACAGGAGCCGGGGGACAGGAGCTGGGGGGCAGGAGCCGGGGGACAGGAGCTGGGGACAGGAGCTGGGGACAGGAGCCGGGGACAGGAGCCGGGGGCAGGTGGTGAACAAACGTGAGCATGGCCTGGTATTTGCGCCGCGAGGCCAGGCCCTGCCATGGCTGCACGCTGGGCCTCCAGGAGCCAGCGCTGCCCCCGGGGTTTCCTGCCCGAGTCCTGCTGACCGCGGCTGAGCGGGGACGCGCTCTCAGAGCAGGGAGACTAACGGGCATCTGTCTGTTTTCATTATCCCGTCGCTCTAAGCAGTGCAGCGTCTTTCCAGAACATTCCTGGGGACCGCGCAGGGAGGGTTGGCTGGAGCCTGGGAGTGGGGCTTGCATCAGAATCTTACCTTTGAGGTCAAGTTCCTCGAGGGCCACAGGCTGCTGAGCCCCGGGTCATCTCTCAGCTGAGATGGGCTCCCAGAGAAGCTTGGGTGACCACCCAAGGTCCAGGGCTCCGAGGCTTACCCCGTTCCTGTCAGACACCACGGTCCCCCTCAGGAGCTGAGGTGTTCGGAGAAGCAGTCACTGTCCCCAAGCACCCTGGGGACCCTGCAGACCCCCTAGCTGTCCAAACAGGCAACTCCTCACCTAGCCCAGACTATGACTGAAAAAGTCGCTCTTTCCATGGGAGGGAGCTTTCCGGCAGGAACTTTCGGCCCATTTCCCTGTGTTTCCTTGAAAGGGACCCGGAGTTAGACATGGTGCAGCATGGTCAGCACAGGGGCTGCGTTTGCTGTGTGACCATAGGCTACTCACTCAGCCTCTCTGGCCAGAGTCAAGTGGAGAAGCAAGCCGTTGCTCGCCTGCCCACAGGAACACAAGGGCGGGTCTAGGAATTTCTACTGCTTTCTAGTAGAAATTAAGGGGTTAAGACGCTGTCCAATGAGGACACCCACAGCCCACTCAGCCAGAGCCCTCACCCTGACCCTGACCATTGTAATGCACCAGCCGGGCTGAAAGTAGGTTTCTGCTGCTTGAGACACAGCCGTCATGCTGGGTCCCACGATGGTGGCATGCCAAGCCACCGTGTGCAGCCATCAGGAGCAGAAGAGTGGGCAGCAAAACCAGCCCCTCCCCCAGGGCCACTGCCCTGTCCTCTGGTGGTCACAGGCCTTTTCTGAGATGTCCCTGGACCTAGGGACAATGGAGCAGTGCCCGCTGGAAGCTGTGTGCAGGACAGGCACCTGGAAGGTGCCCAGGGGTGGCAGGCGCTGGTCCCCTTCACCCTGGGGAGGCCTGGCCAGGGCTGAACCCTGAAGCCAGTGCATCTGGTCACTTCTCCAGGACTTAGCCTGTGTCCTGGGCAATCGGCCAGTTCCCAGAGCCTGTGTGCCTTCCTCTCAGATTTGAGGGACGTGTCCCTTTGGTGCCCTGCCCTAGCCCGCCCCTTGGCCCCCATCAGAGAGCTGCAGGTCACACGGCACAGGAGGGACGCAGCTCGGGAGCCTTGCCCTTCTCCAGGGCCACGTGGACTGAGGGCTCCCCCTGGGATGAGCGTGTTGGAGGAACCAGGGTGCCCCAGAGCCCCTGACCACGTCCTCCCCACCATTCCGCTGCCTGACTCCGGGCCAGCGATCGGCTGGCTGGAAGGGGGCCCAAGGCGCCCTGGACAGGTGTGAGGCCCCATCCACACTGCACCAGGGCACCTCCTAGCCCTGGGCGAGGTCCTGGGACTCACGGAGTCCCCTGGGACCTACAGAGATGGCCAGGACACAGGGAGTCCAGCAGGTCCAGTGGCCCAGCGTGGCTGGGATGTGGGGGACACCTGCAGGTCCCTGGAAGAAGGGAAGAGCCGGGGTCTGGAAGACGGGCCCCCAGCACGCCCAGCCTGCAGCCGGGCACAGCAGAGCCTGGTGGAAATGCCCGCGGCCCTGCCCGCAGCAACCACACCAGGCTGGGGGTCAACAAGACCCCGGGCCCCAGGGCTCACTGGGATGAACGGGTGCCGGGAGGCTCCGCGTGGGGAGGAAGGCGTCTCCGGGATGGAGGCCGCAGGGGAGGGTCCGGGGCCCGACACGCAGACCGCGGGGGCTGCTGGGTGGGGGCCGCTTCCCAGCCAGGGGCTGGTTTTCAGGTGGGTCTGCGCAGGACTTGGTGGCTTGGGGCTCTGCGAGGCATCCTGGCCGCCGTTGACCGGGGACCCCCAGCCGCCAGGCGCGTCCCCGGGTTCCTTTCTAATGACACTCGAGGCGATTCCTTCCCGTGGGGGAGAACCCAGTCGTGCTTTCCAGAGGGATCACTTAAATGTTGCACTTTTTGCTAAATTCAGCTTCAAACAGGGACTTGGCTTTGGTGCCAGCTTCCAGCCTGTCAGCCGTGGCCCCCCGCAGAGCCAGCCTGCTGTCTGGGGACAGAGCGCCACGAGTTTCCCTGCCCCCTCTGCTAGAGCTGCCAGAGGAGGCAGGGAATGGCCAGCCGCCGCCGGGTGGCTTGACCTTGCACAAGAGCCCGCGTGAGCCGCCCGCTGCCTCCCAGCTCTCTGGGGAGAGTCCACCCCTGTGGGCAGTGCCGGGCATCCTGACGCACTGAGTTTTCACAGGGCAGCCACAGGAGGGAAACTGCTAAAAAGGTCCCAGGAGGCTGCGGCCATTAAGTCTGTGGGAGCGGGACGGGCGGCTCGTGCCAGTATGCTGAGCCCCGGGGAAGACCACTACCACAGTGAGAGGTGGCCAGGGGCTGTGTGGACGTGGTGGGCGCGTGTGCGTAGTGTGTGCGTGTGTGGTGTGTGCACAGGTGTGACGTGTTCAGGTGTGGTGCGTGCACATGTGTGGTGCGTGCGCGTGCATGGTGTATGTGCGCGTGTGGTGCTTGCGCGTGTGTGTTCAGGTGTGGTGTGTGCGCATATGTGGTGCATGTGCGTGCGTGTGCGTGGTGCGTGCATGTGCGTGGTGTGTGCGTGTGCGTGCATGTGCGTGCATGCGTGGTACGTGTGTGGTGTGTGCGTGGTGCGTGCATGTGCGCGTGCTTGCGGGCGTGGGCGCAGTGTGTCGTGTCACGGGCAGCGTGGGGAAGCTAGACGCTGCTGCTCCAGGCTCCTCACGGGGCTTGCCCTCTGACCCTGACCAGGGCCCCTGGCCTGCTGCCACCCCTCCAAGGGCCAGCTCGGCTGCACCCAGCAAAGCCGGGGCCTGGGCCCTGCAGGACTCATGTCCACACCATGCAGAGGGCAGAGGGCTCCTTGGGGGCACCCAGTCTCTGAAGCCAGAGGACCAGGGGCCCAAGAGTGGGGCCTGTCCCCCCACACTCCAGCCCACGCCGTCCTCGTGGCTTCTGGGACCACGCATGAGCTCGCCGAGGGAGGGAGGAGGGAGTCGCTGTCCCCTGTCCCTCCTGTCCTTACCTGGCTCATCACTCAGGGATGCAGAGCAGGACCTCAGCAGGGGCTCCAGCCCCGGGGGCTCTGAGTCTGAGAGCAGAGAGCTGCGGCCGTGGGCTCCAGGCGGCTGCCCCCGTCTGTGGGCAGCCAGCCTTCCCGTGTCCCGGGCTTGTCTTCCCTGCCGCACGAGGGACCCTGCCGTCGTCCCTTGGTCTGGTATTTGCATAAGTAATTTTACTCGGTCATCTGCTTCCCTGACCCCTCTCTGGGTGCTAAGCGCCATCTGCTCAGCTGTATTGAAACTGTCACCTGTGTGTGTCCCCAGGGCACTCCTGGAGATTTCTCGTTGCCAGTCAGGCGACGAAGGGGGCAGGGTGGGGCCCCAGGCACCTCTGTCGCTTGGCACCTCTCAGGTTTTCATGAAAAGCTGGAGGGATCAGGACAGGCGGGGAGGGGGTGCACGAGGGATGTGCCTTGCGGATCCCAGCTCTGTGCCCTCCTGAGCCGCCTTAGGCAGGTTGCACAGCCTCTGATCCTTGGCCTCAGGGTGGTCATTAGTGTTCCACCTACTCGAGGGTGACTTGTGCCCTCTGGGCTCACAGTAGCCACCAAAAAACCTCCTATCCTTACCTGGCTCATCCCTCAGGGGTGCAGAACAGGAACGCGCAGCAGGCCACTCTGCACAGACAAGGCGACGACCCTGGAGGCAGCAGACGGGTGGCCACACTGGGGGATCTGGTTGATTGGCTGGCGACCCTGGAGGGCTTCCTGAGGGAGGGGACACTCCACTGACCATATCTGCATAGGGTGGTCCACTCGGGGTCGCAGCAGCTGTGACCAGCCTCTGGGCTGAGTTGGGGTCAGAGGCACTTTGTCCCATCCCCTGGGCTCCCTGTGGGCTTGTGTGCTGTGTGGACGTCACTGCACAGCCTCGCCTGTCAGCCACACCCTGGACGTGAAGGGCTGCTGTCAGCACCTGCCACAGACTGGCCCTGAGCCGGTCACCGTCCCCTGAGAGCTGCCCTTGCCGAGGCTCCTGAGCTCACCTCCAGGCCATGCGGGGTCCTATCCTGTGACTACGCTGGCCTCCGTCCCTCGTCCAAGGCCTGGCGCCAGCGCACTTCAATATGCAGGTGTTTGTGACCACGTCACGCTCACATCTGCTTCATGATATGAAAATGCCCCGAAGCTTACACCAGGAGCCACCTTGGAGCAAACCAGCCGAGCAGCGCCAGGTCATCAAGCCAGCTCTTCTGTCCCAGATGTCTGAGGGTGCAGCGGGGGACTACACTCAGTTATCGAGAGAGGGCGGGGGTGGGGGAGGGACGCGCCTTTCCTTTCAGAGCCCCGTTGGTGTGGGAACTGGACATGGTGTTGGGCAGCCCACTCTGTGGTGGGTGTCCGGCTGCCTCCTGCCCACAGCACTCCTGTCCTGTCTCCTGAGGTCACATGCAGTGTTACAACAGCCCCTGGGTCACCAGGAGCAAGGGTCCAGCTCCCTCGGCTGGGGGCAAAGAGCTGTCGACTGTGGCCACTCCAGTTCCCTTGCCAGGCCCAGCCGTAGCAGTGCTGCCCATCAGGCGTGGTAAGAGGGTCGTTTCCTGATTGCACGGGGACTTGAGCACCTTGTCCTCTAGCTCTGGACCGTGTGGGGTTCTGCTCCTGTGAGGCCCTTCCTCCGCCAGCCCTCGCCGGGCCGTGCTCTTCCTGCTGGGTCCTGCGCGTGTCTGCTTCACTGACCCTTGGCTCCTCTTTCCGCCCTGGTGATCAGCAGCTCCTGGTTTAATGCAGATGAATCTGTCAGACTTTCCTTCAGGATTTGAGATCATTGTACCTCACTGAAGAAGTTCTTTTCCACCCAGAGGTTGCAAAGTGACTTTCTGGTCTCTTTCTGGGAGTTTAATATGCTGCTGTCACGTGTGCGTCTGTGACCCAAGAGTTTACTTTTTGTGTGTGTGTGTGTGGGGTGGGGGTACAGCAGGGTCCACTTTTTATTTCCTCCTGTGGATGGTGGGGTCTCTGAGACCCATGGTGCCAGCTCAGTCATAAACCGAGCGGGCAGTGGACGAGGTCTGGTGCTGGGCGGTGTGGCCCACTGTCTGCGGGCACCAGCTGCCCAACATCCAGCAGCTCTCCCCGGCCCCACACCCCGGCCCTCTTCGGCTGACTTCTGCTCCTCCCAGTTCTCTGCCCTCCCTGCACATTCTAGAAGGGGCTCCTCAAGTCCAGACAGCAGCACCTCAAACCCCCTCTGGGATTCTCACCAGAACTGCCAGGACCCGCGGGGCCAGCCTGGGGGCGTGCCACGGTTTCAGGCCCAGGGTGCCTTCCACAGGGGGGTCCTTCCCTGCTGAGGCGTCTGCAGCCCTGGACACCTCTCCCGGGAACTCGCTGTGGTCACCCTGTGGGACGTGTCCGCCGACTGCTGCTGCAGCCCAGACGCGGGGGGGCCGGTGTGCTGGCTGGCTCGTGACGGCCACCTTCCAAAGTCCCCAGCTGCTTCCGTCGTTCCCGTGGGGACGGCGTTGGTCCCTTCCTCACTGAGCTCTGCTGGCTGGGCCCGGCCACGGCTGGCACTTGAGGTTTCCCAGGAGTGGTCTGTCCGACACGGCCCCCCCAGCCCGCGGAGACGTTTCGCTGTAACTGCGAGTAGACGCTGAATTTCACCCGGGCTCCTGCACCGTCTGAGGAGATGGTGCGGCTGTCCCCTTTGCTAATTAACAACACTGATTGATTTTCCAGGGCATGTTGTGGGTTCCTGGGAGGAGCCCGACTCGTCCGGGCGCGGTGGTCTTTTAACGCGTTGCTGAGTCCCTTTGCCGACGTTGTGCTTAGGGTCTGCGTCTCCCTCGTGGGTGGGCTCTGCCCGTGGCGTTTCCTTCTCGGGGACTTCCCCGCCTCCGTTCCCACCCCTGCCCCTGCACTGCCACCACCCCACTTGGCCTGCTGCCCGCAGGCCTGCAGGTGAGCCACGGTCCCGCACCCTGCCTGCCCGCCCTCCGCAGCTGGAGGCCCTCTCAGGGCCACGCCCACACTCCTCTTCCTGGCCCTGGACCCCACAGGTCCCAGTCAGCCCTGGCAGTGTCCAGAGGGGCATTAGCGGACAGCCAGGAGCATGCGCTGTGGGGAGAGATGTGCGGGGTTCCGGGCCCCTGTAGGGCCCGCCTGCCCCGGTGCCCAGAAGGCCCCGCGAGGGTGACATCTCAGATGGAGGCTGAAGGGGGAGGGGCTCTGCCAAACAGCCCTCTCAGGACAGTGGCCAGCCCTCTGGCGGCCTCTTGCGTGGTGTGATCAGGAGGCCACCTGAGGGCCACACAGGTCTCCCACCCCACTAGGGAAGCAGCAGCCCCACGGGCCGTTGTGGTCATTCGGATGCTGGCTATGGGGGAGACCAAACTCAAAGGGCAGGGGGGGGTGTCTGGCAGGCGCTGAGCCTGATACCATGAGAGACTGAGCTTGTCAACCTCATGTCCCCAACACACACGGAGGCTGACCGCCTGGGCCTGGGACTGTCCACCCGTGTGCCAAGTGCCCAGGTGCTCAAGTCTATGCAGAGGCCCTGAGGGTGTGGTCAGCAGTCCATGCCCAGGCCCTGTACCTGCCAGCCTCTGTGCCCAGCCTGACGTCACTTTGCCCCCAGTGGTGACGTCACTTCTGAGACCCTGTGACTCCCCATGTTGGGGTGAGGCCAGCTCCTGGCACCCTCTAAACAAACCTGATCAAAGCACAGTTCCCCAGCATAAAGGGGACTGTCCTGGGGCCCTGGGGCAGGTGGCCTTTCTGTTTAGCACAGCAAGGCAGCTCCGGTAAGCCTCTGCAGGAGGCGTCAGGAGGCGGCAGCTGGCACCCTGGCCTTGGTGAGGACTCTGGCAGGCTGTCCTGGGCCTCGCCCTGCTGGGCCTTAAAGTGACGTCTTACAGTCCCTGGCCTCATGGGGCCAGACCAGGACTAGATAGGGACAGGTCTCAGAGCTGGAGCCTCCTCCAGCCCAGGACCCTGGGACCCTGGGTTCAGGCCTCGAGTCCCCGTCCTTTGCCCCACCCAGCCTGGGCAGTCCCTCAGCAGCCAGGTGTCCACGGCCCTCCCTCTTGGTTCCCACCTCTCAGCCAGGCCTGCCTTAGGGACATGAAAGGAGAGGAGGCCATCTGCACAGGTCACTGGGCCAGTCCAGGCCCCGCTCAGGCCTTCCACGGACCGGAGGTGCCCCCTGCCGCGAGCCAGGCGCTCCGCGGAGTGCAGCCCACCGAAGGCAGCCTGACTGGGGCCGCCTGGCGAGGCCACTGGCCAGACAGCTCCGCACAGCAGGTCTCTCGCGTGGTTCTGGAGGCCAAAACTCCAAAATCAGGGTGTGGGCCGGGCTGCTGCTCCCAGGGCTCACGGGAGGACCCGCCTCGCCCCCTTGCTGATGGGAGTCCCCAGGAGCCTGGGCGCACCATGCCTGGTGGCACTGACACGCGGATCTCTCGGCCTCTGTCCTGCTAGGGTGTCGTCTCTGGGTCTTGTCTCAGACAGTCGCTGGACTTGGGGCCCACCCTAATCCAGCATGACTCCATCTTAGCTGGTTCAGTCTGCAAAGATCCCGTTTCCAAATCAGTCCACATTCTGCGGTTCCGATGGACGAATTTGGGACAGGCATACTCAACACAGAACACACGTCCTGGTCAGGAAGGGCCATGTTTCCCCAGCCTCTCCTGGGACCGGGCACCAGGCAGAGCCGCGGGCCGCAGAGATAAAGCTGTGGCAGTGCAGGCCCTCCCTCCGGCCCAGAGTCTCACTTCGTGCTGGTCCCTCGGGGGCTCCTGGCCACTCCCTAGCCATTTGAGGTCTCACCGCCTCAGAGAGTGGACATCTTCAGATGAGGTCTTAAAGATGTGAGTCCACCAGGAAATGGGCACAGTAAAGAGACCCGGCTCTCAGCCCTGAGGCCCTCTCTCTGTCACTTATTAACCATGTCAAAGTGCAGCTGGTGGCCTGGGCACCTCCGCACTGGCTCCACCCCGGCATCTCTACGTCCAAGACGGCTCCACTGCCCAGGGAGGCTGCGCCCACTCCAAGCCCCCCTCCCACCACCCGCCAGCAAGCCCTGATCCCCTTCCCAGCTCCGTGTCTGCCGCTGGACAGTTCACATAAGACGAGTCGTGTGTCTGGCTTTTCTTGCGTGGCATGATGTGGTGGCCTGTCCATGTGGTGGTGTGGGCTGCACTGAACGGTAGAATTCCCCTGTGGGCATGTGCCACGTTTTATTTATCTATCATCCGTTGATGGACATTGTGAGAAAGGTCAAGAGACAGTAAAATTTAAAGGGTTTTTTGAGCAAGCAGCAGTTCATGAGTGGGGTGGCCACACCAGGGCTCCAGAACCCTGCCGGGCAGCACAAGGAAGGCTTGGGCAGGATGGGCACGGGGGTAAAGCAGGCACCAGTCGTGTGGCCCACCGTGGCCCGCTGGCCTGTCTGTGGACAGTCCCTGCATGTGGGTTACAGCTTGCTGGGGACCTCTGCCTGGTGAGTGCGTTCTGCTGTTGTTTAACACAGGCGTCCACAGGGAATGGCCCGGCCACCTGTCACTCGGGTTTGCAGGTCAGCAAGGTCCAGGTCACTTCCAGGCCGCAGTGGCCTCCCTGCCAGGACTCTTGGGCCTGGTCTGCATTTTAATGAACATCAAGGTCATTTGTTAAGGGACCCGTTTCCATGTGGTGCACACGGCTCGTGGCCCTGAGGACTCTCTGTTCTCAGAGCCAGGCCCGAGGTGCGTTGTGCCTCATGGGGAAGGAATTCAGGGGGACAGTGTCTCAGGCTGAGTGCAGCTGGCTGGCCCCGCCTGGTCTTGACCCACTGGCCACAGCATGTTGGTGTGGCTGCTGCCTTGGGCTGGGATTTCGGGGCAGCGTCCCCTGGCCTGGCCTTAACCTTCCTTGCTGGTGGGGGAGGAAGGCTGCTGGCCACGTGGGAGCACCCACTCCCCACCCTCAGGCAGGCGCAGCCCTGCACCGAGTGTGCGGGGACCCACCTGGTGCCGGCCGAGGCCAGGCAGGTTCGGGGGCCCTGGTCTGGCCCAGGTGGACCCAAAGCCCGAACCACCGAGGAGCCCCCAGACCTGCCGGGGACAGGCTTCCTGCCCGCCCTGTCTGGCCTCCTGTGTCCGAAGCGTCGGGGAGAGGCTGCTGCCCCCGCTGCTCCCAGAACACGCTCTGCAGGACTCTGCCCGCCACCTCCGCCCCTTCCTCCGTGGCCACAGGGCAAAGCCTTCTTTGTAAAGACAACAACGGGGCCCAGTGACTTTAGTGAGACGAGCAATCCAACGTGTCTCCCAAGGTCGGAGGGATGAGCCCGGGCGTCACCTGCCTTCTCCAGACCTGCCCTCCCACTCCCTCTAACCATCTCTTGAAAAGAAACCTTCCCCTGGCAGGTGCAGCTTCCAAGAGCCACGAGTCCTCCCACCCGGCTTGACCCCAGGGAAGCCCCTTGTCCCCAGGGAAGCCCCGTCAGCCTGGTGCCTCTTGGCCCTCGCGTCTGTCTTTTCCCAAACACCCTCCTCCTTGGAGAAGCCACACGCAGCAGCCTTCTGTGTCCCTGGGCACTGCTGTGTGTGGCCGGCTGCACACAAGACAAGGCTAAGTCACTGTCCCTTCCTCAACCAAGTGGGGTCACGAATCCCCTCGGGTGTCTGGGCTCCGCCATGTCATGTCTGTGTCACAGCCTCCAGGCTGAGGGAAGAGGCTGGTGCCTTGGTGACGTGGGGCTGGGTGCAGGGACAGGCAGGGTGACCAGAGGAGCTGGCTTCAGCCTCACCATCTGAGCCTGTCCCTGGGGAGGGGGGAGCAGAGTGGCAGTGGCCTTCGGAGGCAGGGCAGGGCAGCACCCTTGGGCACCCAGGTGTCCGGGGCCTGTTTGAAGGCGAGGGCCGTCCTTCCTGCTGCGGGAGTGCTCATCGTCTCTAGCTGACGACCCTGCAGGGCACTGGTGACCTGTGTGTCCACTCATAGACCACCCGCTGCCCCCGGATGCCAGGCACGGCTGCCCTGTTTCTCGGGGCCGGGGGGCAGTGAAGCCTGAGGAAGGAGGGCTCGGAAACACTGCGGGGACGCCCATGGAGCCCCCCCCCGCCGTGGCCCCGGCACCCATCTGATAAAGAGGGAACTTGGTGCACCGGTCCCTGCTCGGGCTGCTCAGCTGGCCGGGGCTGGGAGGGCTCCCTGCTGGCACCGTGGCCTGCGGGCAGGCTCAGATGAGGAACTTTGCCTGAGCCTTCTGCATCCTGGGTGCCCTGACCCCTTCTAGTCCTGACCACAGCTTGTCACCAGCACCTGCCAAAGTGAAGGGCCGTGAGGAGCTGGGCCCTGGTGGCCCTGGTGGACGGGAACGGCCAGGCACCCCCAGGTTCCAGAAGGCTGTGTGCCAGAATCCAAGCCCTGGAGCCGTCCACGCGAGGCCGCACGTTCCTGACCTACTGGAGCTGGCTCCTGGTGGCCCTCGGCGCTCCATGACTCAGGTCATTGCTGACACCTGGCGGCCTGTAGGGAACGTGGCAGGGAAGGGAAACCCGCCAGGGCCCAGGTCAGCTCTGCTCAGGGCAGCCGCAGGGTCCAGTGTCCCCGCACTGGCTGGGGCTCCTCGGGCCTGCGGATTCGCTGGACAGCTGGCGTCCCCACACCTGTGCCCATCGGAAAACACTCATTCAGAGAGCATAAATCAAAGTCTGACACCCTGTCTCTGGCCCCAGGAACTGTGTCCACTTTGGGACTGGTGCTGTTGGCCTTGGGCACACTGGCACTTTGACAGGGACCCTTGGTGACCATCCTTTGCTGTCCCAGGAGGGGGTTTGGCCAGGAGTCCCCAGGCCCTTCCTGCACTCAGCTCTGGTCCTGACCCACCC